ACTCGTTTTCTTTCTTTTTTCAGTAGAAACATGCCCCAACAGCAGCAGCAGCAGGGCAGATTCACAAGTTTCCTGTGATGAATCATCCTCTCTGATCGCCGAACCAGAGATCTTTATATCTCCGGAAACCTGGAAAGCCTATGCGGAGTCTTTTGGCGAGGTATTTCAGAGCACCTGGGGTGGGTGCAGTCTGGAGCTGGTGCAACAGCCCGAGCTACAACATCGTGCTAGATACCTGACCGAGGGCAGTCGCGGCCCCATCAAGAACCGCACAAACGATGGTCATCCCCGAATTAAGGTAAGGACTGACCGCTGGCGGGTAACTACCTAACTTGTCAAAGTTTTCATTTTGTAATCCGCCCCATGTATTTTAATCAGTTTAGTGGACTATTTAAACAACCACTAAAGCCGATGGAATCTCATGTGGTGTGATATTAGTAGATTAGCTAACTGTTGCACCTGGCGTTGATTCAACTTCAGCTGCGTGGTTGGAATGGTCCAGCCCTACTCCAGGTGTTTGTCGCTAACGACTCAGGCGAGCCAAAACTCAACATGTTCTATCAGGTCTGTCTGGTGGCTACGAAGAGTAATCGCGGTTGTACGGAGAAGACCATCGGACACACGACCGTAGTGCAGGTGCCCTTCCATCCAGACACCGGAGAGGACCGGACCTTGGAGTAAGCCTTTTGCAATTTTCATCCTTTAATTACAATCGATGCCCTTTTCCCTAGACTTGGATGCTTTGACGTGCTACTGTGTCATTTGTTTTACACGCCCTCTTACTGCAATGACAAGTAATGTGTTGAAGAGGTCTCTTGACAACTCGTGCAGTCAGTCGGGTTTCCCTGTCTCGTCTTTATTATACGTGCAGAACCATTCTGTCCGCTGCATCCTCTCAATGTAATACCGTTTCCCCCCCCCAGTGTGGACTGTGTGGGATTGGTAAAAATGCGGAACTCCGACGTCGAACGGCGGCTGTCGATGATGATGAGTGAGGGATCCGAGAATGCTAGCTCCCATCGTGCTGACGCAAACTCCGAGGACGCTGACATGAAAGAGGTACCGACGCAGCACAGTCCGACGGTGAGGAGTGTGGGCACTGCGGATGGAGTCAACGAGAATAATCGCAAATCTGTGAAGCCAAAGTCCAGCAGTGCTCGCCTCGTCTATCGTGTTCTCTTACTCTCGCCACAAAAATTAGAGGGTGTCGTGCAGGTGCTCAGCGACCCCATTCTTTGCAGTAAGTCCAATTCTCATTCACGTTATACATTTTTTTATGTAGGGACATACATTCAG